AATAATAGGCCAAGAAGCATGCTTCCCCATAGATAAAATAAAATTATTCGAAATTATTCGAAATTATTTAGGAAACGATGAGAATTCGAATTGAAAGTGCAATCGTTTCACCAACCACGTTTTAGTAATTATTATTGAAAAAAAAAAAAAGAAAAAATCGCGTGAAATTTGTCAATGAATTAGAGAAATATAGTAGGGAAGTAAATAAATAAACTTATCATATAAATAGCTGTTATTCGCAGTTAATTTAATTGTTTATTAATATTAATAGAAATTTGAACAAAATACTGAATAAATAAGAATCACATCACATCAAATTTATTGTAATACTAATGAAAAAATAAGCCTTTAAAGGAGGAAAAAATATAACGTTAACTTTCATCCACATGATTGCAGTTAATAAGAAAAATATCATTTAATCATCCATGTATAGAATATAATAATTCTAAATTAATAAAATGATTTTAATTGCCGAGTAATCATTTATTTAGTTCACATAAATTCTTAACAAATTTTGGCCTTGTAGTCTTGAATGAATGCTTCTATCTGTTATGCTAATTCCTTAAAGACCTTCTCAGTACCAACAAAATTCTTAAGATTTTCTGAATACATAAAATGAGTTATTCCTCAACGAGCAAAGAATCCTTTCAGGCACGTAATAAAAGCATATACTGCTTAATCATTTGATAATATTAGGCAAACTGTCTTACTTTCATGCTATCACATAGATTTCAATTATCAATAGAATCAATAAATATATAATCTTCAATGTATAAGAATATTGACGAAAAATATTAACTCTTTTTTAAGAATTTATCGTAAATTAATTTTACTATTAGATTTTATCTATTCTCTATTCGATTATTATACTGCCCATTGATTACTCTATATTATTATATTGATTATATGATATTGTAACTGACAAATAAAAATATTTAAAAGAATTTATCGTTAAAAATAATGTGTACGGCCATCCGAAATATCAACGACGGCAATTAAAATTATCTTGATAATTTTTATACGACTCGATTATAAGGTGGATTATAAGGTTTCATAATTAAACTTTCAATGGATGGTTTGGAATATCCGGTCCCTTATCAAAATTCAGGAACCTATTAAGGTATTTCGAACAAATGTCAGGTGCACCACGACAATACTCGGTCGTCTTATAAGTTTCGTAAAACAGTTGTACCACGATGTATTTTTCATTCCGATGTGTTAGTATTATTTGAAATTCATATATATTACATTATTCATATATATTACATATACTACATTACGGGTAAAGTCAACTATTAGCCATCGACCTTTATAGGAACCTTTATAGGGAATATCGGTTGGGTTATATATATATATATATATATTTGCATGAATATTTGTAATTGTAATTGTACTAATTACGTAAGCGCTTATTGAGAATTGCTTATGCTTCACGTTGTAAGTATAAAGATTGAATCACGTGATTGCGTGATAATCTATATTTTCTTCTTTGATCACAATTTTTTCAAATAAAATTCAATTTATATGCACCGTGATTTGTGGATTTGTTACTCATAAAACTTGAATATTTTATCGAAAGTTGTAGAAAATAGTCTAGAAAATCGCAATAACCTGAATACAGTTACAACGTGGATTTCGATAATAAATTTTCAATTATTGTCTAAAGATTTTAATAGCTTCAACAATATATTGCATTTTTTTTTTTTTTTTTTTTTTTTTTTTTTTATTATTATAATTTCAAACCATTGTATAATATATTATATTAACATTGTATACATAAAATAATTTCAATGAATTTAGCAATTTCAATCATTAGTTTCAGCATTTCAACTGTGGAATTAAAAGTATTCAAATCTTGAAAATACGTAATATAAGTATTGTACTGAGGAATATCTATTAGTTGATTATGTGAAATATCTGATTTAGTATTGAGTTGGATGAGCTACCATCCTTAATGGAATTCTATCGTGAATTACATAACTGATACACTAATTTGATTAATAAACTAATTCAAATATATTATTATCCTATAGTTCGTCCAACTTACATTGGGTAATTAATGCATTTACTAAGCTTACTAACATTTTATCAAATTATTCAATAATGATGCAAATTTCGTATTTGATGGACACTTACAAAAAAAAATACACTATTTTTTTTGTTTTTTTTTTTTGTTTTTGTATATGTCATTTACAATTGTTTATGTCATAGACAATGTATAAATGCAAAATATAACAACGAATATATCTTGGGCTTCATGAGAAGTGCAAAAAAAGAAAAAAGAAAGAAAAATAACTAAACAAATATTGGTTCTTTGTGGACTTATTTTGCATTTAATTTCCAAGTCAGCATTTACAAAAAAACTACTCCTTTCTACTAAAGGATGTGTAGATATTCAATTACGAAGTACGTAATAAAATTGGATTTGGAACAATAGTTCATTTGAAATTCGGTCATAAAATAGCATTGGGATGCAATATCTTATTGATATTGACTTGAAATGAATATTAAATTAATATTAGATATTAAATCAATTTTACAGTTAATTCATTAATTATTTTTTTATGCATTATAAAAAATTCACTATTAAGCAATTACATTGACAACTGAACAAATATTAATTATTAAAACTTATTAATTATTAAAAAAAAAACAACAACAAATTCAACAACAAATGTCGAAAAACATAAACTCGTCGTTTTGTATAATCCCAGGCTAAAAGTAGATATCCTAAGAGAATGATGTTGAAAATGTATACAAAACACTTGTTATTTCATTGTCGCTTAGGTATGTACGGTAATCCTTTAACCATAATTTGTATTCAATTATGATTTACAAGTAGCTGAATTTCCGTACCATTTGCATCATATTCAGTACATGCATCGCAGCAAGTTGATACGGCTTTCGACGGATTGCATGTAGTACGAATAATTACATTAAATTTTTCTGAACTCCTCAATAATATAATGGCCCATACATTTGTATGTCTACTAATGGAATTTATGCATCGATGACAGAATGCCATACTTGTTGACTAATTGTTATTTTTAAATTACTTTAAAATACCAAAGATATCTCATATTTCGATTATATAATGAAGTACATTTTTTTCTTTGCTCTATTTTATAATTATTTACGAAATGCAATTATGAAAGGTGTGATAAACTATCCGAGATTAAACTAACTGACAATTGTCGATAATCGTAGATAGTAAGATGATATATATATATATATATATATATATATAAATAAGTCGAAATATATTGTCATTTATTTGTTAAAATAATCTTTTAATAAGAAGAAAATCAATGAATGAAGAGTCTTTTTTGAAGAGTTAAATACAAATCAAGCAAAGACTTAAATTAAAAATCTGAACTGAATCTGGTCAAATCTTAAACACTGTATTTCATACGAACAAATTATAATTTTCCAAGTATTCAGAAACAAATTAGATTATAGTAAAAAGTTAAATAAAGTAAAATGAAACATAATAGAAATATAGAATTGGTCATTTTCAAAACATTTTCAAAAGTCAAAGGTGAATAAGCTTTTAGATAAATAACCAATAAAATTCCTATTTAACGATCATAATGATATTACCGTATACTTTCAATGCTTATGAAAATAAACATTTTAAATTGTCTGAAAATATTTTCTATATTAAATTAACCAACGAATAGAGTAAAATTTATTTTCAAAGACTCTTTCTGCAATTTGATATCACATATCAGTGTTCTATTATATAATCTACTCTCTATAATAAAACAATTTCCTACCGATAACCTTACAAACTTATTTGCTGAATTAATACTTTCTTCGGAGCAATGCGAAAAATTTGTAAATATTTACGAATTAATTTACCCAACCATCTATTATCACATAATATGATTATTTATATTAAATTCTGCATTCCCATAAATATTATTTTTAACGATTAATTAAAAATAAAATCAAAATACTACAACAACAAGATAAAACACATGACAAGAACATTAGTGAGTATCTTTAATGTGATTGTATTTGTGCTTTACTGCTAAGAAAAAATATATATCATGTTATTAATTCTCCTACATAATCAAATAATTGTACACTCGTTAAACTGTCATCCCTAATATATTATCTATAATGAAAAATCAAACTTTTTTATTAGAATCATCTGCATTAATGTAAAATTTGTCAAATGAACTCGCAATCTCTGGTTTAATCTTCTAATCGTTCGAGGTGGCTTTTACGTTTTAGCCAATATCGATTGATCAAATAATTTTTAAACAGGAACTAACTTTTACAATTTTCCTGCAAAATTTTTATTCGACTGAAGTAATGATAAAGTCCTTGTTAAACAATGCATATGCGAATAGTCGGTTTTCAATAGTCATTAACAAATAAATCCTTTACTGTTTCATTATATTTTGAAATTGGAGTTTCCGCTATTTGAATTCACAAACTAGTAAACGACATATTCATCTCTATATGCTTAATTATCAATTCACATTTCCATACATTTATAATTAAAATTTATCCCTACATCGACTATTTTAAACTTTTATTTTCGTAAAATAATTTTTAATGCATATCAATTTATTGTTTGTAATGAAAAAAATGTATCATTCGGCCAACAACGCGCTACGGTCTTAATGCTTTTTGTCCGATATGTCAGTAGAATTTATTGACAAAAAAAAAAAAAAAAAAAAAAAAAAAAAAAAAAAAATTATGTTTAATGTCCTTGCAAATAATTTAAATGAAATTTCACACTGACCGAAAAAAATAGTTCATTAATCATCTGTTCACAATCTTTATATCATCAAATTCAATATTAATGTATAACAACGCAACGCGTTTAAGCTGTATAAGAGGTAATATAAAGATAATATAAAGAAAACCACAAGTAAAATAATGATGAAAGACGAAAGAATGACGCAGGATAAAAAGTACAATAGAAGCATACAGCTTTTCTTGCTTTACAAGTAAAATTACAAGATATTTATAGAAAGAATACTTACAACAAATCAGCAGAATCGAAGGATGTTCCTCGTCAGCATCATTCTTGCCACTTAAAAAGAATAGCCACTGCCTCGGGTCTACTCTGATTCCGTATCTGGTTGCAAAATATAATTGCAGAATATAATTACAAAATATATTGCGAATGTAAATGCGTTTAATTATATTTATGTATTTGGATATTTGTGTATATGTTATTTATGCATTTAAACGTGTGATATATTATGAAATAACAAAATTTAATAGTATATCAATTATTGTCGCGGTATTATGTATGAAAATTTATTTATTCTTACGTTTAAATTTTAGAATGAAGTTATCATGCACGTGGACGAGTCTCAAGAAATCGAGAAATAAAACCGAAACTCCCTTGACAGCTACAAACATCATCGAGTTTAATTCGTTTCGTAAAATAAAAGTCGATCATTAATAAGAGTGTCGACACCGCTAATTATCGGACTTTCCTAAAGTTATATTCTATCATATTTCAATATCTTTTTACATGGCTGTTCTAAGATAATTTTTTCTTAAAGATTTATTGAATTTAATTTTAAAAAATTCTGTTACATTTATTTCCATTGCAGAAACTTCGATTTTTTGAAAATATCCTTTTTAGTACAAAGAATTACAAACACTAAAACGTTCATATAAATAACATGTTTATTAAAAAAAAAAAAAAAAAAAATGTCACGTGAATAAACAACTTCCTAATTTAATAACTTACTAATTTAAACAATAACGAGTAATAAAGTAACGTGATATGAATAAGCGGGAATAGAATACTATGGAATACTATACTACTACACATTTACAATCGATTCGCCACTTTCTAAATGCCCAGAAGATTTTATTCTTAAACATTCGGTTTCTACTTCAACCTTACTCCAATCTTATTATCGTTCATCTTGGAAGCGCAAGCCCGCGACGAGTGTCATAAAGAAAAGGACAAGTAGCTTCCCTTTGTTCTTCGAACACCTCTCCCGACTAAATAATAAACAATACTCTGAGTGATTCTTTCTAAAATATTGAAGAGGATAGGAGAACGAAAGAAGACTCTATTGTATCTTATTATTGCTCGGGCTTTCGTGAAATATTGAATATTGTAAAAGAGAATTTGTTAAAGCTATTGAACATAATAATTATATCTCTTGTAGATTTATAATGATTGTTATAATGATTATTATAAATCTATAATGAGTTGCTTTGATCAAGTCTTGATGTTCGTAGGAAATTTCTAATTATTGTAATTGAAGTTCGCTTCATATCGAATTTCATATTTGTTGGTGCATACTTGGATGCGATTTATTAAATTATTATTTTTATTCAAAAAGTAGAAAAAATCATAAACGAAATAATTATACCATCGATAGATGAAACGTCTATTAAAGTAGTTTTTAATAAAGAAAACTATATAGAAATTCTAATTTTCGAACAAAAGGAAGGCCTGTCATTTTTAAATAAAACTGAATCTAAAGAATCGTAAACAAAATATTTACATGTATATTTCTTTCAAGCTTTTTTTTTTTTTTTTTTTTTTGTAAAAGAACACTTGCAGTTTATTATTTTCAAAATAAAAATTTTCACGCTCTAAATCATTCTAATAATTCACGCGAAATCTAACTTCTATACATTTTAATTTTATATCATAAGACTTTTTGTGAAAATTTTTACTATATTATATATATAGCTTATAAACATAATTATGACGTTGTGAATTTCTTTAAATATTAAATTACTTTTGAATACAGATTTTTAATTATTTAAAATTTACATTAATAAAGTTCGAATTAAATTTTCTGAACTGGTTTATTATGCAGTAAGAATGGTTATATTAAAAGCGTAAGATATTACGAATCAAAATAAAATGGAAGCAATGATTAGAAGATAAATTTTACTTGCCTTAAAAAAAGTGAATAATAATATTGAAGAAACTTGTCAGTTCATAAAAATGTGCATTTACAAGTAAAATTGTTAGTACTTATTTTCAACGGTAGACACTTATACTTATATATTAAATAATATACAAGTATATAAGGAATATTATATAATATTGTAGAAAATTATGTGTAATACCAGAATTTCAATTTTTTTTTTTTTTTTTTTCATAATATTTATTCAAAAACTTAAGAATATTCGTGACATTACGTTTCGTAATATTCTATCTAGGCAAATTAACCAAGAAATATTGAGAGATAATGAATTTGAGTAGAATTTGTATGATTATTTAAGGTTTTTTCATGACCTTTTGTAATTTAGGTAAGAAATTATTGAAACCATTCACATTCGAATCAGGCTTTATACTTGTGTGGGTTCGTATTATATTAATCTCTAGTACATCGGAATTCTATAAGTATATCATCATTGCAAAAGTGTAATATAACAAAATATTTTATTTTTATTGTCTGAAATATATATATACATATGGATTAAAAGTTGCTCAAGTTCTTACAAGATTATCAAAACATTGTTAAACTTATCTAAATAATGAAGAACAGTAAAGCATGCTGATATTCACTCAATTTCAAGCCTATAAAATCCATATAATTTTTAATGATTATGAACATATTTCTCAAAAATTTTTCTTAAATGTCTTTGTACATAAACTATTGACACTTAAGAGGAGAGTAAAAAATTACAAATTTTTATTAAGAACATCGCGTAAGCTTTCCTCCTTATTATCGAATAATGTAAATGTAGTTTGTTTTTAAAATTAAAGACATACGTAGCTTTAACATACTTACAAATACTTATTACTTTCTCCACTCTTACATGTTCGTTATTATCTTAATAGTGAGTCGAAAATAAGCTATTGATTACGTATCTTCTGCCAAAGACCGCAGACATGAACTATATTATATAGACACTAATCTTGTAACTATTATTCTGTACAAATCCCTATCCTAAAGTCTTTGTAAAGCCATATTCAGTTGAATATATAAATTATAAATACGTAGGAAAACTTTCGGATGAGTAGAAGCTAGAACTTTTCCTAAAGTTGGACACCATCGAGCGATCAAACTTTGACGTTCTTCACTTTTTTTTTCATGCTCTCGCGTTCACTTTGAACTTTTATCGATGACAGAGATGTAGTTCGACGAAACTCGGTCTTATCGGGTTCTCACGTCTGCGCTTCTTTCCATGATTTAACTTTGTGTAATATAAGCAATTTTATCTTGGCTTAACTCACTACTTGCAATTTTTCAGCTCGAAATTTATTTCTACGATTCGTTAGGATCGTGCCCTCCCTTAATTAACTCAAACAAGAGGAAACAAGTTTTCCTTAAATCTCAACGGTTTGACGAGGAGAGTATAATTGTCTCGAGTAGGTCACTCTTTACGCGTAAGATCTAAGAAAAAGTATTAAAAATGTAAACACTTTTTAATTGCTTTTTCGCCATTTAAATCAGAAATTCTTTCGCTCGTTTAAATACAAAGATTTAACAAAGAAAGAGAGCTTGTGTAAGATCGAGAATTAATAATTTAAAACAGGAGATGATGGTTTTCCTGAGAAATTTATACAGTAGTTGCTTCAGAAATTCAAGGGTTGATTTAAAAATATATTTCGAAATCAACCATATAATATACATTTTTTATCGTTTTTATTATAACCATAATAAGAAAATTTCGTGGTCTTCGAGTTAACATTAAACCCCTTTTTCTCTTTTTTTAAAGTAGTAGCACATAGTTAATGGTATGTTAAATACAATATTTCTTGGTTAATGCTTCTGATATTTCAGAAAATTAAAGAATTATTTTTAATACATTTTACCATTGACAATAATGAGTATATATAAATAAATTGAAGCGTGAAAGAGTATATTAATGTTATCTATTTAGAAATGTTGTAATTTCCGAATTTCGACTTTAATTTTCCAATATAATAATCATAGAATAATTGTTAATATAAGAAATATATCGTTACGCTACATTAGAGATAATAATTTTATATTAATAATTTAAATTTAACAAATAATCAGACAAATAAATTGTAATATTCTAAATTACAATAGTATGACACAATATTTTTGAATTAAAATAATGGTGACTTGAACTAAAAATTTACATTCCTTTCGAAAGTATTAATTAATTTTAATCTTTAAACATTACTATCCTTCTCTTATATTATTGTTTATAAAAACAATTTTTACTTCTAACTTTATGTTAAAAATAATTCGCATTCGCGCTTAAAAGAAGTTTATATTGTATATATTAGATTATCTAATTCATCTAAATGAACTCTTTTTTAAATGCATTTACAATATCATTTAATCATAATTAAACGTAAAAAAAATTCAAATAAATTAATTGCAATAACAAAATAAAATTACATCCTATAAGTAACTGTAAAAAAAATTTAATAAAGAAAATAATAACACTAGTGAAAAGTGGTCCGAAAAATGTGAAAAAAAAAACTAACTAAATGTAAATTTCAATTAACTCGGCATTTAAAACCGTGTAAACAAGACTCGAGTTGCGTGTAACATCTATAGACGTATTTTTCCCTCAACAGCTAATAGAGAGAAAGAGATGTAACGCATTTAGCATTATGTGCATCGATGAGACGCACGGCTTTGAAAATAATTATGTCACATAGTACATTACGATCTACGATCACGTCCTTAATTACTTTACTTGAGCCCGGTCTTTACCTATTTACAACTTTGTTTTTCATGCGTATATGTCTGCACATGTTGATAAAAATAGAATTTAAGTAGTTGAAATGGATAGTAGAGGATAGCGTGGCTAAGGAGTCGGTTCAAGTCTAGTAATTAAGGAACGAGTCGAAACTTTTGAGAAAAAAATTTTCTCTCTTTCTGGCTTTCGACTCTTAACGAGCATTATAAATTTTTGTTGCATTCTCTGCGAGTAGTAAGAGTGAAAAGAGTAAAAAGAAAAAAAAAGAAAAAGAAAAGAAAACAAGAGAATGAGAAAGGGAGAAACAGAACAGAAGGAAGCCTCGTATGGCATTCGCAAGTCGAGAGTTTTGAGGGAGAGAGCGATAAAAATCTCGTTAAAATTATTCATGTGATCCAGCTACCCTTCAAAGCCACCTGATGGCCTTCCGCAGGTACTTTAAATAAAAAAAAAAAAATAAAATAAAAGAGAGAGAAAAAGGAAGAAAAGTTGAAAAATTCTTTCGCTTTTACACACCATATGGTTGTGTATTGATTTCATGCTGTATTTAATAAATCAACACTTCAAATTCTCCGTTGGATATCATTTATTAATTAAAAGTAAACATCAGTACTTTAGAATATTTATTGTCACTGATTTGTTATACTCAATTGATGAAGAGCCATTAAAATGTAATCGATACGCATAAATCATTGGCGAATAAAACGCAAATAATATATAGAAATTATTAGATTATCAAATAAAATTAACTATTCGCACTTATAATACAATAAAGATATATGAAATAAAATAATTTCTTATTAAAATTATTCGAGCGTAATTGAAATATTGTTAATTTTTCATTAAAAATTATATAGCCTGTGAAGTTATTTCTAATGGGGAATATTTGATTTTCTATTCAATGTTCATTTCATTTACTTCTAGCCACCTATGTGCAATAAATAATATTGCGTGTTAGAAAAAAATTGGCCTTAAATTAGCGAACTTCATGTATAAAAAATTAGAAATACAGCAGCTTCGCGTAACAACTATATATTTCATAAATAAACTGTTTTATTCATATAAGCTTTTAACATTGCTGAGCAAAATGTAAATGTTAATCTCACTACACTTTGTTAAATCATAATTAGCACAAGGTAATTGGTGCCATATTTAAAAAGTCAAAAGCATACATTACGAATAAAATATTGAAGTTTTAAATTATTCATAACTATTGGAAATAAATTTCAAGTAAATACACTTGAAATTTCACTTGATTCACAGTTAACATGGTATTATGAACAAACAAAAAAAAAAAAAAAAAAAAAGAAAAAAAAAGTCTACGATATTCTCTGAATATTGATTCGAAATCAAACTAATCTGCCTAATAGCATGAATTTCCAAGTATAGAAGTAACTTTGAATCATTATTTGTATTCACAAATGTAATCCCGAAGGTTCTCCTACAAGCGTTTTCGCATACTTCAACATTTTCATTAGCGATAACCATTGAACTAATTTCTATACTTGAACGGCGGTACGGAGGATACCCTGCGCGCACGCACGCACGCACGCACGTACGCAGGCTGGCATGCACACGTACACAAGAGGCGAATCGATTAGATGGACGGCGATGCGCAATGAAAAGAGAAAGTTCGCTCCTCCTAATTTCCAAGGAGGCGAATCTCCATCCCCGAAGCCTGAGATTGCATAAATTGATATAATGGCAAGCGCAGGTAGATCCGTACACGATGAATGGCAAGAGAATTTCTGCTGAGTCGTGAGTGCCGAGGCGAATATTTGCCGAGTCAATCGGCTTTTTATCAAACTGCCAATCGCTCGGATATCACATCAATCAAAACGTGCCAGGCGTTTCGCTCCCTGATGTAACGCCAAGTGCCACGCGCTGCAGCTCTTTTCGCGCGATCTCACGTTGCATGTCGGCGGCGCTCGGCTCCGTGCTTCACGTGTTTCCTCGCCTCTTTCAACTTTGTCGCCCGCGCAACCTCGTTTCGAACGCGAAACAAGCGACTACTTGACGGCGTGCGATGATTTTGTAAAAAAGTTTCGTGACTTTTCGCCAGTCATTTTGCCCTCGCATCGCGGCCTATCCATTCCACCGTTACACCCACACTCGTCTTATTACAGTTGCAAATACTTTAATCCCCACTCCGACTCTGATACGTTTATTTTTCCGACCAACTGCCAGTCCATCTATTTCATACTTATTATTCAAATGTTCCCGGAAAGGTGAAAGTCCGTTGTAGCCCGTTGTACCGCTGCCTTTTATAGGATAGAATCACTTTTTCTTAAACTCCACTTTTCCAATCCAGTAAATACAATGGTCATTATTTTCACTATTCCTGCATTATGTACATTTGAAATGTATTTGAATTATTTGAACTGTCGCAATGTAATTTTGTAATTGATAAAGTCGCAAAGGGTCATGAAAGAACGAGGGCTATCGATGCAATTATAAATCAAGAGAGATAACGACGAATAATAATTGTGTATAACGATTATACATCTACGAAAGAGAACGATAAAAATAGTTGCCACATTCCTGCAATTCACATTCGCTTGGTAACAATTATTTTATAACTTTCAAATTGAGAGTTATTTTTCGATAATATTCATTCGAGCGATGTTCTCCCGTTTTATTATCTAACAATGAGGTTATGACCTTGAAAAAATAGTTCTGAAAATATGGCAAAAAAATCTGATTTTTAAAATAGATTTCACACACTCAAGCTCGAATTATACATAACTTAATATCTTAAAGAAAATATTTATAAAATTCCTATCATAATATTTAATTCACTAATTTTTATTCGTTATTACGAGTGAACTATAAATTTTACAAAATCTTTTATATTTTATTTTTTCGCATTTTTTATAATTACCAATAATGCATCAATAATAATTTAAATGTATTTTTATAATCTATATTGTTATTAATATTAAGAAATGTACAAATGAACAAACACAAATAATCTATTAGTGTGTTATTCTCAAGTATTGAGAAAATAAGTAATTAATTTTTGTTTGAAAAACTTTTCGAGTAACGTATAGTTTATATATTTACAATTTTATAAAATTATCAATGCTAATGATAAGGTCTTATAAGTTGTAACGATTGTTATTAGTTTTATATTATTTTAAATAACAGCTCGTCACAATATTGCACAAAGTTATATTAGATTTTCAACAATTTACATAATTTCACTTAAGAGTAGACTATTTTTTTATTTGTTTAATCTATTGAACGATTGATGTAAATGTTATTATTTAATTTATGTCACTCATAAGCCGTAACATTGTGCTCGATGTTTATGATATTAATGTTTATTAATCAATTATTTATCTTTAATGTCGTGCAACAATATTTGTTGGAACAATTTAATTAATTTAATCAGCATATGAATAAAGAAGGAAAATCCGCTCCAATTAACTAATACTTAACAATGCCATTAAATATTGTCATGAGTTTTATTATTAAAACGTAATCTTATTTTTGCATTAGATAAGAAAAATATCTTTATTAGAGCCCTGGCTGCTCTCCAATAAGTCGCGTCGCACGCATTTTAGCAGATTTACTCTTTTCATTACCAGCACTCCATAAATCTTATCGCACTAATAATAAAGCATCTCTGCCATTACAATCAACTTCGTGCATTTCAAGTATCTTCGTAATTTAATTTTCATGTTAAAACGTACCTAATAAGAGATAACTTTTCTATAAGATTTTTATTGCTTTGCAAGATAATATATAACTCAGTTTCTTATTGCCGTTACGTTATTACGTTAATTACGGCAGAAGTTATTTCTAATTCTCTATTTATCACCCAACATTCGACACATTTAATATCTCAAAAGAATCCCACATGTGCACATGTATGCGCACATGCGTGCATACATTGACAATTGGAATTGGGAGCTTTAAAAATTTCATTGATATTTTCACATTAATTTACGATAATGCTTAACTGAACTTTTCAACATACTATTGCTGCTCATTTATTTGCAATATAAACATAAATATAAACATGTGTATTAAATTTTTTTTATCTTCAATTTATTAGGAAAATAATAAATACACTTGGTGAAAACTTTTACTCTCTATAGTAAATGTTATAAATCTTTTGTTTTATTCAATCGAACTTTATTTGTATAAACAAACTAGCGTTACAATAAGAGAAGGATAGAATTTTACGGAATATCATCGAGTAGATGATGTTTTAGCAACATATTTGAACTTGAAATATTACAAATATTTTAGAATTCAATAAATCATGGAAAAGAAGCGCGGGGACCTTTAAAATCAATTTATGTTATTTTTTTATCGTTTACAGAAGCGAATCCAAGTTAAATGACACTAGCGTATTATCTCCGAATGATATTTTGAACTCATTGATGTAAGTAATAATGAAATACGCGATAAGAAAAACATGGCAAGAGACACCTACTGAATATATCAAGACGGTTATGAAAAATAACAAAATATAATAATAATTAATAATAATTAAAGTTTGAAATAAGCTTATAATGAAAATTCTATCATTATATAAACGTTTTCTTATCAAATGAAATATTAAGGGTACATTGACTTTTATGTATTATGATTATTATTAACATCGACTTCAATATCCAATCGAATATCAAGTGAGAGCATTGAGATCGAGGACTGTTCAAGGCTGTTTAACGCAACATCAAAAGCCGCTTTTACGATCAACAACAAGTACTCTTAATAAACGTCTAATTACTATTTGCAAAACAAATGTGTTCTTTATTAAAACAACTAATTCTTACGTTTTTCTTTATAATGTCGAGTAAAAAGTATGAGAATATTACGGAGAGTAATAGCGTGAATTATTTTCAAAGAAAAATAGTTTCCTTATATTTGTATCGCACTAGACTCGCGGTGGAGAAGAAATTGCAGGAAATCAAGAGGTTAATCATAAAGCGCTGAGAGGTGAAAACTTACTTTATAAAGTTCTCCAATAAAAGGCGAATGCCACCAATGCCCAGTAGTAGAAAACCCCAGTTGACGAATCCCTTGAAGTTGTCGAAGCCCGAGCTCCACGAAAATAGACTATCCCTCGGACGATGGCACCTGCAATAAAGAACATTCAAAACTTTAGTCAAAGTTATTGAATCGCGCAATTATATTCATTATTATAATTTTTATCGAGTTTACTGATTGACTTTTGATTGCTTGTCTGTAGTTGATGGCAATATTAATAAGGCATTTTTAGAAATCTTGGGATTTCCTTCAAAACCTACGATTGCATGTACTGATTAATTTTCTTATTATTGCAATAGTAAAATTACGGCAATTATTTTTATTAAAAATTGGAATTTTAATTAGTACTATTATTTACATAGTATAATTTATAATAAAGTATTTGTAATACTGATAAGAATTTTTAAAAAGAAAAAAAAGAAGGAAAAAAAATTTAAGAATTTTTAAAAAACCTACTCAGTCGCGAAATCTTAGTTGTATGAAAATAATTTTTTTTCAGTTGAAAGCATATATTTATATTGCTTGGAATTGGGGAACAAATTTTACAAATGCTTCTATTAGAAACCTGTAAAAATACTTAAGCTTACGACGTTTAAGGATACTCTTTATAAGAAAGGATTGTTAATCTGAGAAATTATAAATATATATATATATATATATATATATATATATATGTATATAACCATAAAGTTGTTTTGTATATTACGGCCAGTGAATCTAGGTTCAGATGAGTGGGTTTTGTTTAAATCCACCACGCTATTTATTCTCTCTCTCTCTCTCTCTCTCTCTCTATCTATCTATTTCTATCTCTCTCTATCTCTTTCACACACACACACACACACGCACGCACACACACACACACACACACACACGTACACACTAATTCCTAGGCCTACGACATGAGGCTACTGAAATGCATGCATTGAGACAACAACGCATTGTTAGCTTTACTCTCTTGTACAACCCAAGACGTGAAGCAGCTCCATTCTATAGTGAAGTCTTTGGTACACAGAACTGTGGCATGTACATGGCTTGTTACAGCGCCAAGAATAATTAAAGCTCCCTTTCTTTTAAAATTCGCTTTAGATCGAGGACCTTTTCCCATATAAAGTGCCGTCTAAAGTTTTTCATGATCAACATGAGAAAAAAGATACTATACTGGAATTATATATATATATATATATATATATATATATATATATATATA